CTCTCTCAATCATGGTACCATGTAAAAACAAAAGAACACCTTTAGTACCTCAATATTCAGCACGTACGATTCGAGATAACATATGAGACTGATAACGCTGAGCCGAAGATTTTTCTGGACGATTGGCGTTTGAAGCTCAGAGGTCACTCTTTAGTGTTTCACAATACTTAAGTGAAAGTACGAGTCCAGATTTTCAGTCTTACTCAGTACCTGCCTATGGGAACTTGATTACCCTAGATTCAATGATGCATATTTTTTGACTTGTGCTTCTGGAATACAAATAGAGCAAAAGAAAGTTATTAAAATAATATAATTGTCTGGTTATCGCAAAAACAATCGGCATAATATCAGGTGTCTGTGAGTTTTGTTTTACGAAACCAACACACGCTAAACCCGCTGTCTGCCCTTCTGAGGCAAGTGCTGGGGTTGGTAGTACGACACCGCGGCCAAATTTAAGTCGTTGCTGGGATTATTCATGGTAATAAACTCGACACCCTCGCATATTTAGAGATGATTTCGCCTGATGCCTTCAAAATATTAAATTGTCGCTTTTCTCGTTAACATCATATTTACCACCATGCATACACCCGACCGATATACCCTGATAGCAGATTTCGGCGCATAATCTTGGGCAAAATGCGTCTAAATATTGCATCGGCTCACACCGAAGCCTTAACCCACTAAGCATATGGTTGTCCCCTCGGCGCAGCCGCCTCGCGGGTGGAAAAGAGGGCATAGGCTGAGGATCACACGGCACATGCGTGGGATTATGAAATGCGAAAATCACTTAAGGGAGTGGAAGTGATGGTGTGGCTGTTTCGTCAGGCCGGCTACAAAGCGCGTAGAGCGGTGAAATATAGAGAAGTGCATGACTGCCATCTGCCGACTGACGCTAGATTTTCGCTGCCAGTGGGCACAGTGCGTGTTGCTCTTTCTATCAGACCTTTGGGCACATGCACGGTGGAGTGCGAAGATTCCCGCCGATCTAGCAGCATATGTGCATTATAAATCTGTTCCCTCGTATCGATTAAAAGCTTAAATTCTGTAAGGAACCTCGGATTCGAATCTAAAAACCCTTCAATATGCATATAGTGTAGATTCCGGCATACCGGAATCTACATTATATTACAAAATTTATTGTGAAAAACGCATTAGGCACTGAGATCAGTGTTGTGGATGTGCATAAATAA